CAAACGGAGCACAAGAAGCACCACTCTTAGTCATCTAGCAGATACGTGCCATCAAAATAGATCAGAATCTGCGTTTAGCATAATCTATCTTACGCCACCATCAACTTTAAGGAAGTACGATCGAACAACTCCGCCACCATTGAGGTGATAGGCATTCCCATTAATGCACCCCAACTAGGCTCACTAAAACAGCTGGTTCAAGCTCTCCACTTATCCTGACTCCAAATTGATCACCAACATCACCACAAACAACATTCCAATCACAATCGACCTCATCCAAGCAGACACATAGGGCTCATCCCACCCCTTCTCTCTTCCCATCCTCAATGACCTTTCGACCCCGTATGATAATGTGTCCTCACTAACAAAAACCCCTTATATGGTCTATACAGGCATCGTTATGAATCGTTCGAAAACATGTCCAGGATTAGCTGGAGGCCAATTTAAATGTTTCTGATTGTTCATTGAGAACAAAGTATAAAAGAAAGTATTGTAGACTGATAGACTATTACCATTTTCATATCTTCTGACTTGAATTGGTGTAGTTGGACACTGGCACAATAGTGCCAGCTAAAATCACTTATCTTCTGAGATGTAAACAACATTTATTATCAGCAGCAGAACAGTATCATTTTACTTTGCGAACTCTTTTAGCATAGCAGCTTTTTGGACCTCTGAATAGGAAGATTATTATTTGAAGGTCACGGGATTTGTTTAATCTTGATAGATTAAGGGATGAGAGAATACCAAGACAACTTTAAGTTTATTTTACATCTAGAAAATCGTAGTGATCATCTGGATACAGTTTGGATTATGCAAACAGATGGCGCAAGACGCTTAAACAGCTCATTATTTCAACGTATTTGAACCGTGTCTATAATACACTCTAAACGATGCCTTTTTCAGAGGTGGTATACGAGTTGTGTTACGGGTCCCGCCTAGTGCCAATATCGCTGAAAAGCCGAAAGATTCACTTTGGCTACCTCAAATAAATTCGGAGTTTGCGGTCTCAAAGACATTGAACGCAATCGAGATACAACAACTTCAACGTCTGATTTCCGTTCCGCTTCATAAGAGAGTCACTGACCTTAGATGTGAATCAAAGCTAGGAAAACAAATGCTCGCCAATGCCACACCGAGTAAAGCACATATCGCACAGAAACAATTTGCAAAAGAACTAACCGCCCGCCTGGTAAAATTGGCACTGGAGCGCTGTACTGGAGATAAACCGAAGGATGCCAACGATTTGCAGCACACTGTCAATTCTCTTCCGACTGAAATTGAAATGCAAACGGAGTTCAGAAGAAGTACACAGAAAACACAAGAGCAACAGGTATCTGTCGGTAATACGTGTGCAACTAAATCGATTTATTTATTTAGGCAAGCGGTGATAAAACATTGAAATCTCGCCGAGAATTTCTGACCGAGAAGCCCGTTAACCTACCTTCAAGCGTTCTCTCTGATGAGCTGAAGCATCAAGGCATCCGAAAACATCATATAGGTACTACGAATGAACCAGGTCAACTATCAAAAGAGCAAGAGCATGTTTTGGCTAATTTGAAGAATAATACAAAACTACGCTCAATATCGAGCGCTAGCACAAGCCCAGTGGTTAAGCCGGAAGAAAGGTATATCCTTGAATATGATGAGTGCAATTACACACCAATCGAAATTGCTAATGCTTCATCCCGCAACAGGAATACGTGGGGAGTTATTTACGGGGATGAATTAGATTGCCTTGAGGACGATAAAGTTCAAATTGAAGATACGGAGGTAAGGACAATACTTGATTTCCGATATTATTTCGTCATTTTAGCCTCTCTAAATTTTATTTAGAATTCTTTTTATACGTCTCCCCTTCTTCGAAGTTGAACAAAATCGACAACAGCAGTAAGAACTGTAACAACAGTGACATTTTTATTTCACGGTAAATGAATTTTCTTGAAAATGGATATGAACGACCACCGCATATATGAATACATTGATGTTGTCATATCTGTTTTAAGGTTGCAAATCTCCTCACTATGATAACGGCGACAAGGAAGTATCAAATTTGTTTGGTACGGCAATTCTAAATAAGCTAGATAACGAATGTATATCAGGCCAGAAGCTCTATAACTGTATGAATTTTGTCCTGGCTCCCAGCCCATCACAGCAGCATTTACAATTTCACTTTGGTACCATCTAAGGTTTAGTTAATAATGGAGTATCTAATCCTTCCGAGAATGAGACGATATCAACAGTATGGTTTTAATAAACTAAAACCGTATTGGGCTTTTTGTTGTTGATGTTTAAATGTTGGTATTTAATCAACTGTAGTGTGAATGTTTAAAACACAAAATGCCTTTTTTGAATACGTTTTATCCGTCTGTCGGATAAATAGATTAATTAGGCGATAAAATAAAACAATGTGTTAGGCTTCATGGGCATATGTATCGCATTTCAAATACATGAGAGCTAATTAATTTGAAAAACAGATCCTATCAAACGATAGTGGACTGAATATTTACGGTGTCCAGAATTTCGGAACTTCGTTACTATTCCCCGCATCCGACAGCGATCTATTTCCTCGATTTCTGCAGTACCTTCGATTCAGCTGATTGAATGTGCGTACAACTATTTTGACCACCTTGGGGATACTCGAAAAGCTCATAAATTGTCTAAGTTCATAATGCTCCTGCTTTCGAGTGCCTATTGGTGCTTACGGCAAGGATTCGATATAGTTAATTCTGAACTATGCAGTGTGAACCATGACCACTCGCAATAACCAAGGCTTTTTATTACGCAACGTACCGGGCTGTTGTCAAAGTCATCGGTCTAGAGATCAAATCATCGACAATCAAAATGTTCCTAAAGGGCAGCAGGTTTCTCGGTGTACTCCATCCAGATTAGTGACGAACCAAGAGAAAGAGTAAAAACATTCACATGTTTTCATGTGATCAAACTCAAAGACAAGGCTAAAGATGAACTCACGTTACCGTCGATAACGCTCACAGAATCAATCTGCAATTGTATCAGAGAGTGTGGAGGCAGAGTGAAATTAAATTTTGCTCTAAAATCCCCAGTTGGGTCGATGGATTCGCAACGCTGATGAGAACCAACTCGGTCGAAACAGCTGTCCAGTGTTTCCTATCTTTTCAGTCTGTTTCATTTGCTATATGCACAACGAATTTACCTTTGAAACTATGATGCAAGTTCTCGAGCTACCGATTTGTCCTTACATAGGATTGTGAACCCTAGCATCAAAGCGCTTGCTATATACAAGAAAAGAAACTTTTCGGCCAGTGATGTCTGAGAAAATGCAAAGAGATTAACGGTATGATCAAAACCTTTCCCATGGAGAAGAATACCAAAGATACAAAAACACTGAGAAATTTTCTTTTCTGGTTAGTCACCGCGGTCATATGTTTGCCCATATAAAAAATTGAACCTCATACATCTAATACAGCTAATCGTCAAAAGATCTATATATAGGACATTTTGTAGGTACACACAATAGGAGTGAAAAAGTTTCTTGAATGCTAAATGGCGGATTTTTGACAAAAACAAATGCTTTTCAAATATTAGTTAGTAAATCTATTGCTTCAAATAAAACAAGACGTAACGAACAAGCTCGTTTTTGGTGATTCGTATTATGCCAATAAAGCACAATAAATATCATGCTGTTTATATATGAATCAGCATTCAATTATAAAAGCCAAACGATTGTTTCGGGAAAGATAAAATTGACATCGTTGGCTGTTTGGGGCTAATTTCGTCTTCGGACCGGATGTGGAATTTTCAGTGATCACATAATTTCAAACAAAACAACTGAGTGACGAACAAGCTCGTTTTCAGAGATTCGTATTCATGCCAATACATCTCAATATATATCACTACTTGGGAATAAAATAAAAAAACAATTTGTGCAAGCGCTAAAGCTTCCCTGGACCACCCCCCATACAAACCTCATCGTGAGTAATCTCGATGGTCGGTTGAGTGGACAAACAAACATGTGATCGTGGTGAACCCGATTTCCGGTCTCACGATGAAATCGGTTTTAGTAATCTGTTTTTATTTTATTTTATTTTCCCATGACAATTTTATTCCCAAGTAGTGATATATATTGAGATGTATTGGCATGAATACGAATCTCTGAAAACGAGCTTGTTCGCCACTCAGTTGTTTTGTTTGAAATGTGCTCTGTGGGATTATTTCAACGATCACACAATTGTAAAGTCATCCGATCATTGCCCCAAATCGTGCACAAGAACAATTTGTATAAGCGCTTGAGCTCCCCTGGCTCACCACCCATACATACACTGCATATTCAGAGTAATCCTAAAGACCAGGTGACCTAATAATGTGACCATCGTAAATATCACATGCGGTCCAACAACGAAATTAGTTCCCAACAACCTCTGATGTTAATTTTCTCTTTCATAAAACAATTGTTTCATTTTAAGAACTGAATACTGATTCATAAATAATCAGCGTGATATTTATTGTGATGTATTGGCATGGTACAAATCAATGAAAACGAGCTTGGTTGTCACTCTTTGTTCCATTTGAGATGTGCTCTGTGGGACTGTTTGGACAACCTATTGCTAGTGCAATTTGTGCAAGCGCCTAAGCTTCCCTGGCCCACCCATCCACACACCGCATCACGAGTAATCTCGATCATCAGATGAGTGAACAAACAATTATGTGATTTCTTTGAATCCGATTTCTGGTCTCATGGTAAAATGGTTTCTAGTAATCCGTGATTTTATTTTATTTTCTCAAGACAAATATATTCCAAGGTAGTGAGTGATACATATTGAGATGTATTGACATGAATACGAATCTATCCAAACGAGCTTGTTTGGTACTGTTACTTTTAAATATTGTTTGTTTCTTTGTTTTCGTTAGCGAAACACGTAAATGTAAATAAGGGAGGAACAACGAGCATTGTAATCGGTTTGGCTCAAGACTGTCTCTCAATATCTCTAACCCATATAATTCATCATATTTTTCTCTCTAATTCGAGGGTGCGGATCTGCCATAAAAATACAAGCCGATGGTCGGTTCCTTCATTCCACTTTAGCAATTCATGTTCTTATCCACCGCGGAACTTCTTTCAACTGAAATCAAGAACCAAAAACAGGGCGCTAACAGGAAAGCGGTTAGTTTTCATTTGTAAAACATGATCCAGTGAGTTAGACTTGAGGAGTCCTATAACATTGGCGTTGGAACAGCTCATAGATCTATCAACTATTTTTTCTGTCAAACTGCTTCATTAAGGGTGAGACGTTGCCAGGATAACCCAGTGGTTTTCTGTGGAGAGCAATAAGCTTAGGCGGACAGTCGATGAGTGTCTTCGGAGCAGAATTATTAGTATGGATAAATAATTTATATATGAAAAAGNGAAAAACAACTGAACGTGTACTAGAAAATTTCAAAACACTTGATATTTCCAACTGGTCATTCCGAACCATCAAAAAAAATCCTTAGACAGTTCAGTTCAGTTCAGTTTGTACAACCATTACCCATGCACTGTCGTGCACCGATAACCGAAAACTGTTAACACTAAAAAATTCCTTGTCGACTGAAAGTTCAATTTTATTGATATTTGGCTACAATGTCAAATAAGTAAATACGGGATATTCATATGTATCGCATTGAATGGGCAACTATTCTCTATTTTTGTTCGCAGTCAGGCGCTGATGCATCGGATTCTGAGGTCTCGTGTAGTGATGGTATTGGAAAGCTCTATCCAGTCATTCCATCACTGTTTCCAAATACACCTTCGGTAATTCGATTTGTCGGAGACGATCAAACTGGTAAGTGTGCGGTAGTATTCAATCACGAAAATAAAATAACTCAAACGGGCAAGTTGCACACAAAAGCTTTTGAGAAAATATTCAAGATATGCATATTGTTTATGCTAGTTCAAAGCCGTAGTTTTTTCATGAATCTGAAACAATTATACCTTTGCACATCAAATCACGACGAGAAGTCTCTTCGTGTTCTTTCAACCACCTCAGTAAACATTGCTGGCATTTGGTGGCAGGCAGATTTGCTGTTTTTCGGCTCAAGATAACGTGCATCCCATTCGGAACTTTAGTAGTTGGTTGGCTTACGTAGTCGATTCTCATGGCCAAATAATAAATCCCCACGGGAGTGGAATTTTTCTCCAATGCAGATTTGTATGTAATGAAACTCGTCCGACTAAATATAAATCCCATTCATCAACGGAAGTGATGAGGGTTCATGGTTTACGTTCACGGGCTTCTAGCTGATCTCGTCTTACTTGAAGTTTTTCCATTTATGCAAAAGCTCGGCTGCCGAGTATGTCGCACCTTATCTCGGCGATTTTCATTTGTTCGTCTGTAACAATATTTTCAACATTGAAGGTACACATGGGCGACGGTGGCCCGGTGGTAACGTCACTAAGTTATCACCCCGGGGATGTGTTAAAATCCCACAACCGCCTGACCTTCCCCATTGTGTGTTGAATGGCAGCCCTTTGATTGTCCACTTCCTCTGTCCTAAAAATTGCATCTTTGTAAGTAAAATGAAAAGAAAAAAGAATACTTACCTAATAACAACACGGAGCTGCCTAACTATTCGTAATTCTTGGCGCATACCTAAACCTTCAAGCGGTATTACCTCATCTATTGCGTTCCTCATATGAGGAAGCATACCATCTAAAAGAGACTTGAGCTCATCAGTCAATAATACATGCAGGTATACCTTAAACACACCGTATTTTATTAATTGTCAAGCATCATGTACAAAGTGGTTTGCGTTATAATCTTACAAACCGATGAACAATATCATTGAAAAACACTACTTGCTGGTTCTGCGCTAGAATATTCGAAGGCTTTAAACTGAAAGGAAAAGCGAGGAAATTTCCAAGGTTCTCGGAAAAAATAAAGATATAAACGCTGCCGTTCGAAAGGTTTTGAAGTTATTTGGTAAAGATGACTTGACGCTACCAAAGCAACAATAAGGTGGGTCCCTGATTGATGAGCACCACGGAACAAAATCCGTGGAATAACGGTTGAAAAGTATCAAGAGAGGGATTGTAACATTATCAACAAACAGGGGGATTCAAACCCCAAACGTAGCTACCATTTTCTGTAGTGAATCCAATTTAGTAACAGTAAAGCGTAAGAAGTTGTGTAGGTGTGAAAATCCTCTTCACTCAGAGGAGGTAGAAAATCATCTTCGCTCTTTGAGTTACAAGTTAAATCGAGTGAGAGCAACAATATATGGAAGGTGAAATATGGAGAAAAATTGAACTATTATGAAAATCAGAATGCATAGTGACATTAAGAGGATTACATTGACGAAATACATACGTATGAGATATTTTTGTGGTATTGACAACCACTCTATTTTTAGCGTCAAAAGTAGCCCCCTAACTCGGCTATGAAGTGAGCGAAACACTGACAGTTGATTATGATTGATAGTGAAAACACGTTACACATTGTAAGAAGGAATGTAGGATCGCATCATTGGTCTAACTATAAATAGGATTAGGAGTTTGGGTATTCAACGAAGAAAAGAAAGAGGCTGGAAGATAGGAAGAAAAATTGTGGGATGTCGAAGTAAACTGGAATTGTGACCTCAGTAACACCAACCGAGGTTGAACGGCGACAAAGGAGGAAGTTTAACCAGGAATCCGCCTTGCCAAACGCGGTTAAATAACTTGCAGATTTTAAGGAAATTCATAAGTGACTAACCTTGATGGTCAGCAGTGAAAGATGGTTTGTATCAATTATAAGGCAACAGGTTACCAGTAGAGTTGAAGTAATGGAAGTCATATCACCATTCACTGGTATGTTCTCTGCGTTCCCAGAGACAGTATATTTGTTTTACTACCTTTTCAATGCCCAAAGAAAAACGATCGAACATAGAACGGTCAAAACTATTAGGAGAAGGCACCGAATTTATAAGCTTAGATGTGAATGTCTTACTAACACCTACCCAATTGGTCATCTAACCGACGTTAGAACATTTCATCATTTGTCTCCTCCACTAAATCTTTCGGTAACGTATTCCATAGGTCCGTATTCCATCGGGATATGCGGTAAACCAGTGGAAGCACGACCGTGTGCTGCTTCGCCAGGGCTAGTGCGTATCTCCTCGTGCGATTGTAATCTCAAAGCGGGAGCACCACCTGCAGTTTGTAACCCAGAGCCCCTCGGATAATGCGTCTGGTATAGATCAAGTCTGTTCTCGTCTGCCTGTACGCTAACAGGAACAGTCCTGCAGCCTGCGAGCAACCTTCTTAGTTAATCCACTGCATCTTGGAAACGAGATGCGTGGTGCTGCGAAGTACGCGTTCCAGTTTCTGCGCTTCTGCTTTTGTGCATGGAGACGATGCAGAACCGCCTTATTCCAGTCTCGGGCGGACGTGGGAAGCATACAAGAATTTTAAGGCATTCTGGGAAAGTACGTTGAAAGACCGCCTTATGGCTCCCAGAATTCGCCAGGCCGACGCACATACTCCACCAATGTGAATACTGATCTTTCAAGTGAAATCTACGATTACTCCCAAATCTTTTTCGCCAGTGGATGAGCGAAGGGGGTTTCCGTGCATTATGTACTCTACGGTTTTCACTGTTTGGTCCACCTGCATATGAGCACACTTTTCGGTATTTAGTAACAGAGACAATCTCGAAGACCAGGGCTCCAGAGACACGAAGTCTTCTTGTAGACTGCGGACGTCGTCGTCTATAGTCACTGCCAGCCATAATTTGAGATCATCTGCGTAAACCAGGCACCGGGATTGTAAGGAAACCGGCAGGTTGTTTATGTAGGCCAGGAATAACAAAGGACCTAGGACTGAGCCAGGCATGAGGCCACTAGAGGCCTCATATCAGGGCGATGTTGCCTGGAAAAATTGGACACAGAAGGTACGCCCTCCAAGAAAGTCTGCATTCCAGTGAGTCAATGAGTTCCCGATACCAAGGGTTTTCATTTTCAGCAGTAATTGATCGTGCGGGACTTTGTTGCAGGCTTTATTTTGCGACCAACGTTCACGTGCCAATAGCAGGTTCGACAAATAAGATTGACTGTAACAAAATCCATGTTGTTGTTCGGATAAGAGACCGTGGGTCGCCAGGAGCTGAAAAATCTGTTTGGTTACGCAGTACCGGAGTCAGATTGACCGCGCGGTAGCTACAAGGATCCTCTTTTCTTCCACTTTGATACAGTGGGGCTACGACCGCTTTCTTCCACTCCTGAGGCAGTCTGCCCTCCGTCACGGAGGTATTACACAGGAGTGTAAAGGGGATGTTAATGCTTCGGAGATTTCTCTTACCACTAATAGATAGNNNGGGGGGGGGGGGCACGAAACCTCCTCCTTTGTTATCTCGTCATGGAAGAAGTGTCGGTTGGTACCCGGGCGTGGAATCACCTGTCTCTTCCCTCGTACGCAGAATGGTAGTGTGCACCCAGCACACTACAGCTCTACAGCTCTACAGCTTCGCCTTCATCTGGTCTATATAAACAAGAATGCCATCATTCAGGAGTGAAACATGATCTCTCGAGGAGGAAGGTGGAGAGACATAGATTCAAGGCAGTGATGCACAAAATTCATGTTGCGTTTGCGAATGCTCAGATTAAGTCTTTTTAATCAAACTTCAGCTAAAACCTGCAATCCTTTATCACCCGTAGTCCATTGGTTTGGACGCACAAGCCGCATCGTTGTAAGCAATTCAGGTCAAAATGTATCGGAATATTTTGAAGTCAACGAATGTTGATGTTTCAAAGCTTGTTAACAAATAAGAAGGTGCGGCGATGTCATGCCTCGCAGCTGACCGTTGTATTGATATCAAATGCTGCACCGCACGTTATTCGGATAAAATTTAAATGATGGCATTGCAGTCTTCACTGTGAATGTGCTAGAATAATTAAACGAATAAAAGTATTGAAAAACTTATCTGTTTGAACTTACCGAACGCCTCTTTTGAAAAGGGATTGCACATTTGTTAGTTGTTATTGTTGGTTGGATGTTATTGTGTGTGCAAATCCCTCCGATGATCGGGCGTATTGCCATAGATAGAAATACTGATATATCTGAATACTCAGTTGCGATCGAAGCGGAGCAGCTTGATAGAAACCCACCAAAATTATACCAAGTTATTTTTGTGTAATATTCATACTTCAATATGCCGGTGACAGATGGGTATGCACTGTTTATTTTAGTTCCTAACTAGCAGACAGACACTGAACGGCTTTACAGCCCACTTTGGAGCCTCCATAGCTGAAACAGGTAATTGGTATCTTAAATGTATCACGTCAGCTTTACGCTACTAGTTTGCTGTGATCCTTCGGTTTATTATATATGTATATATACTGTAATAGGAAACAAGTGACATTCTGCTGGGTGACAGTCGAGCTAACTATCACTATTTTTTGTTTGTCGCAAACTAGGATTGTCCATCATGCTACGCACCTTAGAAGATAGACCTGGGAGGCCCTCGTTTAATGGGCTTATAGAGTTACATGAATACGGGGGTTTATTTCATTTGAGCGGACTTAATAGCTAATGAAGTTGTTAGGACGGACCAGATTGTCGAGCACCGATTCACAAAATTCGTGGTGATAACATTACAAAAGGATCAGGGAGATGATCACATTGCAAAAGACAAGTGGTCGAATAGTAAATTTTAGGAATGGATCAGTAACAGATATAATGGTTTCATTTCGGAAAACAGTTCAAAAATATCAGGGGAAAAGAGGGATCTCGTGCCTTGTAAAGGGTCGAGGAGAGATGAAAAGTTGGTTTCGAACAGAATCGGTTAGACAATGCTTTGAATACGTGAGAAGCACCATCAAGAATACGAGATGAATGAGAAGAGAAAATAGGATGAAGCTTAGCAAAAAATAAAACGGCAGATATGGTACGAAGCGAATAAGAGTCAGAATACAGATATGGGGTGCAAGGACTATAATCGCGGGGAATTAACATACAGAGGTTTACGGAACATTGAGAACGACTTCATTTTTTTAGTTTCCCAATCAACGAGGGCACTCAAGCCTGAACTCACCAATTGTTCTAAAAGAAAACACAATATTGCACTACTAAACGATTTCGCTGCATTTCAGCAAAGTCCACAATAAAGAAAACGCAATATTTATGTATCATGGCAACAAGGTAAGATAAAATAAATTAAAATAGACAAACATTCAAGGGAGGATGGTTAAAAGGACTGTTCAACCAAGGTAAGGAAAAACCACCGAGGCTACTAAACTTTTCCCAATCGACATACAAACTTCGAATCTGCCAAACAACTATTTGAGCAATTCACCTCGTCTTAGAAGCTCATTCGGTGGAGTCCGGTGAATTTTGAGGAAAAGCTGTCGGGACAGTTTGCTTCAATGCTAACTGGTGGATGACACATGTAAGTTAGATGGGTAATTCGAATGTGATAAAGTTCTTTTTTTGATACAGTGGGGGAGATTCTATCGGTTGACAGCAGTTTCTTCTGCAAACCTTAGCAATCTTGCGATTCAGGAATTGAAGAAAATTCGGAAAGCCGTGCTTTCGTCGATATTGAGCTATGTATGGCAATGGGTTATTATAGTTTTGACCATCGTTCCTATGCAGCGGACTTGACTTCGATTGCGCCATCTAACTTTGAACCCAATTTGGAATATGTTCCACCATCCGGTTACGTTATTTTCACTTTATTCTGTCCATTCAGGAAGCTCCAGTGTGATAAAGGTCTCACCTAATCCACATTGGATTTAGTAGATCAGGTTAGAGATGTCTTGAAGAGATAGACGATATGCAGAAAAATCGTCCTGAATATAAATCGCTCATTAATATAATATGGTACTTTGTTTGAAATGTCTTATGTTTTTCTAACTGGATAAGTATTTACGAATATAACTCAATCAGTGCTGCATGTATGTATGTATGTATGTATGTATGTATGTATGTATGTATGAATGTATGTTTGTATTTTTATATGTATGCACATAAAGAAACCTAGTAACTAACGCACAGCTACGAAATAACGGTATTCAGTTTTGAGTATTTTATTCGGGAAAGAATCTCATCAATATGTACGACGCAGAGATCTGACCCTCTAATCTCATTTTTCTTCTCGCGATGTTCTAAGATGTTATCAGCATCAGGTCCACGACACTGGCGTTCCATTTTTTTAAATCAAATTTTGGGTTTTCATATTTTGAGTACAGATTTAAGTGAACTTTGTTAACGTTCAGCTAGACAATGCCGATCTGATGTTGCCTTCCTTTAAGATTCGTGGCCAGTTTGTTAGTAACTCAGTCTGGCCTGTGGAAATCACTTCTATGTAAAAAGCAAATTATAATGTTTTTAGAGATTTTTGATGCGCACATTCATCTCGTATACGTCGTCACTCTATCTCAAATTTCACTGATCCGTTTTTTCTTACAATAAGCTGCTCGTCAAGGAACGTTGGAACAAGAAACAATTGGCCGAAGTAGAGTACTTCCAGCTAAACTAATTTTACTCTTATTTTCTTATGCTCTTTCATATTAGAGATTCTTTTGGGAAAACTATTTACCGAAATCCAGAGGAAAAGAAAGAGTAACCAAATGTGAACAACGCGCAACAAGCGATTGCACGAAAACTGTCTTTTTGATTAGTTGAGGCGTTTTTGAACTTCCAATAATAGACTGAGACGAATGTGACAAACAGAGCTGTTGCCGACAGTCCGTCGGTGAAATTTCAGGGTATGGTTTATACCTGGAATCGGCATCGATTCCGTTCAAAGTCGCCCTTGTTTCCTAGTGTAATGGATGGAGGTAAACGGTATTTCCAAAGGACGCTTATGTTGAATGAAAAATTTCCGTACATCCTATGGCGTTTTGAGAACGGTGTATTTGAAATACTTTTTTATGTTATGATTCATCAGATTGTCAAAAACTACCCAATTAACTACATAACTATAACTTACTGTTCCCCTTGATATCTATAACTTGTAAGTTTGTTGTTTTCGCAAGCATCTGGTCTCGCGTAAGGAGGTAACCGATTGAAATCAACAAATTTTTCACTGTCGATCAAATCGTGAAATGATATGATTTTCTGCATTGCAGTAGTCAAACTTCCCAAACCGTATCGTAGTCGGTTAAAGTGGCGACCGAGTGCAATTACACCAAATGTGGTCAAACGTGCGCTAAAACGATCCCATTTTCGTCTGACATTGAGTAAGTTCTAGCCGACAATAATCACATCCTTGCTTTTCTATCCTGTATTATTTGTCCATCTTGCTTGCATGCACCCAAAGGAATATGCCACTGCAAATCGACAGTTCCATTCACACAGTCCGTGGTACTGAATTAAAATTAATTTGTTTTCCGCCCAAATTTAATTTGATTCGCTAGTAAATTCACCCGACAGGCTTCCTCGGAATGCGGTAGCAAATGGAAGTAGGTCAACATTCATGAGGATGAGAATTGTTGCGGGAGCATGGGAAATCTGACAAGGATGCCGTTCAGCTCGGGTGCGTTACGCTTTCTGGTTTGGAATCCCGTTATCAGTCTAATCGATGGTTAGAGAGTTTAGGTGATTCAGCTGAATGTTACAGAGAGTAACATCCGTATATTTACTACATTTCTGCTCAAATTTTTGTCGTCTGCATTTTGTCTATTTATCGTGGTGTTTTTCTTAGCNTCTTAGCCTCAAAGTTCTTCATTTGGTCTTTCCTCATTGGTTGACCAAAGAAAGAAGACCGCGTTGGGCTCTCCGGATGGGGGCATCGGGATCCGCTTAATTAATGGTTAGACAAACCCAGTGACATGACTGAGTTTCGTAGACAGTGGTGCTCGTGCATCTACTTATTATCCTTGCAATCAGTCCTCGTAAATTCTCGACGGTCAAATCCCATGTGCACGCTTTCAAATAAACTTTACCCCTTAATGATATTGAGATATCCTTTGATAAGTATTTCCGCAAAATGCTGCATCGGAAGGTTAATGCAGTCCACAAAATGCTAATAATTTCATCAATATTTTTGCGTTCATCTCCTCAACAGACCAACCCGGAGTTTTCGTACATGAAACGATGAACGTTGCGTCGTTCATAAACCCTCACATGTGCAATCACAGTACAGATTGCAAGCCACGAGCACCAGTAGCGTTCTCCAAGCTACGTTAGCAAGAACACAGATGATGATCAACGAACGTAGAAGTGACGCGCCAAGATGGAGTCAAAAGTACACTCTCAGCTCATCTGCTTATGTGCTGTTTCGGATACATAGATGAAAAAATGAAAAAAAATTACAGAATTGACGAATCAGCGGCCACCAGCAGGGGATAGACGATTAGGGTCAGAAAGGGGCCAAAAATATTTAAATCATAAAATACTAAGGCTAAGACTACTAGAAAAATAGATATTTTTAGGTAAAAACAGTCCCTTTACCTAACAGAGAGCACAAGTATATATTCTTCTGCCGTGTTATTCGTGCTGTATGAAAGGAAAAGTTCCATTTCGCCTGTTGGCAGCGCTTGACAAACGTTTCATCAGTCGAGAAGACCGTCACTGCTTGTGAAGTGGCAGTGTTCTGCTTATATCCCTTCGTTTACATCTGCTTGCATACATGGAATACAGTTGACACAAGCCACGAGAAGCGATTTTCAATATTTTGCCACGAGGGAAAATCCTTTAGAGACTCGGTGGATACGTGATTGCCATCTAAGTAAATTTAAGGTATTTTCAGCATGTTTCGCTGAAATCAAGGGTTTGAGTGACATCTGGTAACTAGTGGGCAATGCTGATTGTCAACAGCAGGGTTAAAGTGTCCGTGAAACAAACACATTTTTGCAAATTGGTTTATGACTCGAGGTTTACTGAATTTGGATCCCTTCTGTGGACCATTGCTAGTCTACAAGGACATAAGGGTGGTCGGGTAAAGTCCCGTATTCAAAATGAAGCAATCTGAAATTGTAGTTTGTAATTGCGCGTTAATCCAGATGGTTTCTAATTTTAAAAATTCGCTAGGACTACAAGATGAGGTATCTAAGATGACGACAAGAAGACGAATGCTTCATTGTTCAAACGACTAATGGATATAATGGAACCAATCAAAGTGAGGCAAGCTTTGAAGTCAACTTCTGAACAAATTCGAAAGTTCCATGGTAGGTTGCTTGTGCAAACGTTTTATTTGTAAAAAACTATGGATCTATAAATCATAGCCACTAATTGCTTCATACCATACTAATTGACAGTAAACAACTAATTCAAACTCGGGGTATACCTTAGCGGTTATTATCTTTGATGGTATCTTCTGTCTTTATGTTTTCTTTGTCATCTGATCTGGTAAACAACCTTTATCCAGTTCGAAAGTAATGATCGCTTGAGGCACAACATCATGGTCAAACTCGAGTACTTTTGTCGTGATATTTGATGAAATCCTTAAAGTGTATTTCGAAAATGAAATAAAACTCTCAAATAGCGCGGAATTTACAATATTCCTTTCACCAAGTTTTGCTCCTTTCTCTTTTCCTACTTTCTGTTTCTCACCTTCTTGTGTATCAGAAAGTCCAGATTGGTTAGGCTATTATGGAAACCATTTAAAACCGATGGCATTTAGACCTATTCGCGAATTTCAAAAAGTGAACCATTTTCCCGGTTCCTTTCAACTGGGTCGCAAAGACAAACTTTGGAATAATCTGTCTCGTTTACGTGCCCAATTCGGTCGAAAAATGGTGGATTTCGTCCCGCGAACGTTTTACTTACCATGTGATTTTCGGCTGTTAAAGGAAGTCTGGTCCCGAAACGATACACCCGCTTGCGATTGTTCAACAAACCTTATTGGCAATACCACTCGACCAAAATGGATCATGAAACCAGTAAGCTTCATAATAAAAAATGCGTAACTTCAGAAGGTAAAGTGAAGACAAAATGCATCAAATATTGTGTTATTCTTAGATAACGTTCCGAAAATACACCCGTTGTCCTGGGTTTTCAATCCAATACTTGGTAACGTTTTTTTGAATGTCCGCCCATCGTCTACCTCTCCGTGTTATCTTTGCATTTACTGGACAAGAGCAGAAGAAGCGTTGCGTTGGTCAGATCATGACTTGGTATAGTGTTGGTAATGCATATGCTTTATGTTCGGCTTGTTGAAAGTCCCATGAAATGATGAAAAAAAAGTATCAAAAAATGTAGGTGAAACAAATAACCCTTGGCTGTTCTTGTTCTATTTACTTGCTTCTTTTTTCTTTTTCCTCTTTGAATCCGAGCACCTCGTTTTACTGTCACATTCGCTTATTGCTTGTTTGCAAGTTAGTGTTTATATATATATCTTTATATACATCACGAGATTGATAGAGCTTAGTCACCATCATTGCTATTCCCACACTCTGAAGATGCAGTACTCTATCCAAACATTGCAGTCTCATCGCTCTAACATTATGTGATCTAAAGCTGGTAGAACGTGCCATTTTCAAACGCTTGCGTGCTTCTTTAAGTACCCGGGAGATCCTCTCTAATTTAGGTTTAAATCACACAGATTCACCTTGGATGCTATCACCTCCCTTGAATGCATTTACGAAATCTGTATGATGTGTTCTTTTAGATTTTTCAGTGGCCTTTGAATCTGTTCCACGTTGCCTTCTTCGTAAAATGAAATCATTTGACTGTCCCTAGCACCTACGAGAGTGACTTGCTGATTGCTTTACGGGCAGAACTCAGCATACTCGGCTAGGTACGAAAACATCTGAATTGCTCATGAACAAGTTGGGAGTGCTCCATGAAGCGGTACCTTCTCCGTTCTTGCTTTCCACCTGCATCAGTGACCTTTCGGCGAGTTCTCCAGCCCAATCATTTCAATACGCTGGCAATGTAACCCTTTACCAAGCCATTTCTATGTATGAGGACTATCCAAACTCCTCCAGGAATCTATTGCACATCCATGAATTTTCCGTTCGTTATGTATAGCTTCTTAAGTTATCTAAGTGTTTCGAATGCATTTTATCCTCTCACACATAATTATCCCCGTGGCCTCTCAGTGATAAAAACAGATATTTTAACTACAGTAGATTCTGTGAAGTATTTAGTTGCCGATGATACATACCCAAAGTGTAAAGCCCATATTTACAATTGTACAAAGAATCTTCGTGGATTATCGTTTCAATTTTGAAGACATGGGCACTTCGATGCAAAGCAAGAAATCAACTGCGTTTTGATTATTCCCTATCCTTTAGTGTTCTCCGATGTATTTTGCTGGACATAAGAAAGACCTTGACATTCTTCCTCGCGGTTTATTGATTACCAGTCTCATGTCTTTATATCGGTTAATGAACTATCTAGAAAAAAATATGAATCACACTTCTCCTCATGCGAAACATTTGCACAGGAAATCCTCTTTTACCCTACTAATTCTGCACATGGTGATTTATACAAGTTCCATTCGGCACACCAAGTTGAAATTACGTATTAGAGAAATAAATCGTTTTTTGGTGTTTCATTGAACTTGTTCGTTAGAGTGAGAGAAGTATCCATGTGGAATGTAGTGATTCGTATCAGATTAGTTGTATTCGTTTGCGATTTCTCCGCCACAAGCAACGTTAAGAACTGACATTAGACTTGTTGAGAACGTACACAATCCTTGTAAAACTGAACACGAGTTTATTCAACAATAGTTTTCCCGCACACTGTGAGCCAGCGATCAAACCCTCGCTTGGTGAATGCTGGGTCCCATTCATCCATCGCATTAAGACCGAAAGAAAACATATGTCGCGAGATGTTAACATTTCGTTCAACCTTCTCAATCGCTGACGTAAAACGAACAAACACATTTATAGCACATTGGATTTGTAAATCCTAGTGAACGGACAAGTACAGTTAGAAAGGGTACGTTAAAATGAAAAACAATAGGTCAACTCCACAGCAAGTGAACTGATTGTGTCAACATAATTTAGGCGCACAGAACGGGATGATGTAATCTGATGGGCAACGCTTCACTGATTGCCAGCATCTTTGGTCTGCAATTACGCAACAACGGTTTGAGAGAGGAAGCGGGATCAATTGAGTTCGGTTGCCATAGCGTGTTTTGCTATTGATGACCCCGGGTTACATATGATCGCTTGATTACTTGGTGTGAGTTGCATCGTCGACTTCACCAACCACTTTGGAATGTGTTCGGCCATCCATTGTGATAAGTGACAGTTGGTTTTGAGTATGCATGTGCACTGCAAATGCAAGTGAACTGGTATACAGTGTGAGAGACAGAACTGAGTTGCCAACCATGTATACGGTTGTCTAAATCAATTATACGAGTAGAGACCATAAGTCGAAGTTTAATTGCTTGAGATGTTCAGAGCTGACCTTAACTTATGATACACATCGTTCAGAAGGTAATCGTCCTTAAAATACGGCTTTCTAGGGAACATTTGGAAAGGGTTACCTTTTTGAGAGCGTTTACTATGGATATCAATGAATCTTTCGCGGTCACCGCTTCGTAGCAACGTTTTCTTTAGGAATTGATATTGTTGTAACGCGTCTGGGGAACAGATGCTTTTGGCTCGATGGAGGAGTATTCTTACGAGTCCACATTTGCAAACCATCCATGAGAATCTAGAGAACTGTAGATACTGACCACTCTATGTTACTTTTCTGTGGATAGAACGTGCCATCTAAACGCCTCGTAATTTTAATATCTAAAAATGCCAAAGAATCGTTGGTTTCTTTTTCATGAGATACGGACGGATTTGGATGAACGGAGTTAAATTGCTTATCAAACGTAAAAATTTGGCTGGAAAAATTCCATCACCAGGCGAGATAACAGTAGTTGACCCGGAATAGTTCCGATCAACTAGTGCATCAGCTGAGGCTCTTCAAGACTGGCTTTTTTGTTCTCCCATTGAAACGTTTACGGATTTTGCCATTATCCCTTCTGCATAACAGTTTGCGTAGAATTATCTGACATCAACGCCACTCTCCCTTTTGCTAGATTCTCTTTAATTCCTGGTTATTTCCAATGTTTCAGCGAAATGGAATGGAACGTCAAGTTATGTTATGTTACTTTATCCGTTTTTCACACTGGCATTTTTTCATTAAAAAATACAAAAAGAACATACTACACCTTTTACTATTGGTTCTTCCAAGACAAACTACAACAAAAAAGCACCACATTTCAATTTTATTACGGTCCAAAATTTAAAGAATATGTCTGTGTATATTTCACGGTAAACTTCCACTAGTAAGGTCTTAGTTATGGGACAATAGCGTATGTAGTTTACAATGATCCATGCCCATATCGAAATATCATTTCCACAATTGTTGGTCAGATTGGATACATATTAAACCATGGATTGGAAAATGTAGTGTATTTCTGCCACACTTATTTTCTACGTTGTAGCTGGTTTCCATAGGCACAAAGAATCACTTACATGCATGAACATATTTACATATACACATACACACATAGTTGAAGTAAATCACATTCTCAAAAAGTGATCAGCATCATCATTGGACAAATTCAGCGAATACCTCTTCTTATTGGTTTCATTTTAGCCAGCTGCGGCTCGTGGTATCGGTGTCAAGGTACTTCGTCAATGGTCCGATGTACCGAAACAACGCAACGTGATTGTTCAGTCCTACATCTCACGCCCATATCTGATTCACGATACAAAATTCGACCTACGCCTCTATGTCTACGTGACGGGTTTCAATCCGTTTCGTGCCTACTTGCATCGCCAAGGTCTGGTGCGATTTGCATCCCAAAAGCAAGTGTTATTTCTACGGCGGCTACGACGTATTTTGAAGTTTCACGCACCGTTAAATTCTCTTTATAACGTTTATCTTAATTATTAAGTAATTGATTTTATTGATTTCCAATTTTATTACATGATTTTCCCATAAACTTATGAGGGGAAAGAAATTAATTAGCTTACCTTCTGGGACGTTGATAATACTATTACCAACGTGAACATTGTCTGTGGTACTTATTAATATACTTTTGAGTTAAATTGATTATAGGAGAAAGTGGAGTCAGTTTACTTGAAATAAGCTTGAGATCTTGAAAATCTTTATTACACATCCACCCGGACAGTGGATTAAATTAGACTGTATTTGTTTACAATCTTCGAATACAGAATCACAACAATTAAAACTTATTAGCTGTTTCTTTCTTTATTCACCGTTCTGGCCATATATGAGAATAACCTAGCTTATCTTGCGTTATGTGAGCTTTTGGACCTTGATAGGAATGACCGATTAGGGAAAAACAGACTAACCTACACTGTCTTTCTTGAATAAACTGTAACTCGGGATCATATATCAATAACAAGGTACACTGCAGACTGTTTAGTCGTACGTAAAAGTTACCGAAAAGATATAACATCGCGCATTTCGTGTTGATGTGTACATCATAAGTAAATTGCTGGATTGGGAAGTGGTAATCATAAAATAATAAATTATGAGTGACTATAAATAAACTATAAATATGCTTTATTTTGATGAAAAATAACATTTCCTATTGATAATTTTTATTCCATTAGAATGACCTATATTGGCTTTGTTCACATTCACGTTTCATTTTGGCAAGCACTGAATGTACGTAGTAGGGTATTCCACCTCTCTGTTATTCAGACTTTGCTTCTACATAACAAAACACATTGCAAAGACAACTTTGTATCTTGCTCGTTAAGGATAACAGTTCCCCAAACCAGATTCGGTAAGTGAATGGAACAGTTTCAAACTTTTTTTTTCTGAGAGTATCTTACGTTTTCACTGAGAACATGAAACACGACTTTGCGGTTTTTCGTGTTATCAGGTATTCCAATTCGGCATCGGATACCGGAAATCGCTTCATCCATCTGACCAATTATTCTGTAAATAAGCACAATAAAGAAGAAGACTCGGGTGTGGAAAATCACAAATGGTAAGATGGATGTCACAGAATGGCGCAGAAAATATTTTTGTGCGTGTTTTCACCCCAGTGAACGTGCTTGGTTGAACAGAAGTCACGCATGTCTTTTTGATTACTATTCATGCAAAAACAACACATTGGACGAGAAGGAAAACTCGCTTTCAATGATTCATATTCATGCCAATAAATTATCACTAAACAAGGCAAAAATTGTTTTGAGGACGGGAGAGCTTCGCTTCACAGACTAAATCCTGGATGTAAGAATCGAAATTTTAGCATTCGCAATGGTAAAATGAGCTTCTTAATTTACAGGGCAAATCATGCCTGAACTGAAAAGCTATAAAAGACTGGACAGCTGTTCTGACCTAGTTGGGTTTCACCAGACGTACGAACCTATCGACTCAACTAGGAATTGAACCCGGCACCTCACAGGTAGAACGCAAGCATAGCTGTCCAGTTCATTTTAGCTTTTCCGTTCACGCTTCATTTGCTCTCCACTGTTGTACGTGACCAACGATATTTGCGGCTGCAGCGACCCAAGAACCGCACAGTACTACCCAGCGGAATAGTGACGGTTCACTGACTACGACTACGTTACCCCAAGCAAGTCCCAACAGAACCGGAACGAACCTCCACAAATCAGTTTGATCTCCGAAACCCGACCAGAGATAACAGGAAACACAGGCCTTTCAGGCGAGGTTTTATATTTTGTTCGACCCTAAAAGAGGAAGGCAGTGGACAGCTCATCTTTTTAAATACAGTTTGGCTATCAATGACCTTGCAAAATGGCTCGAAAGTAGTGAATCACGGAATAATGGACCAATGGGGATCAAGTATGGCCGGTGAACTGATATGAGTCCCTTTGGGCGCGAAATTCAAATTTTATAAAAATAAATGGAAAATAGGGAGAAACAGAGGGAAATAATCACTTTTATAGGAAAAATGGCCTTTTCTCTAATAATACACGAGAAAATTCAGTATTCGGTTAAAGGCGTGTTATAATCCAATCAAAACCTCCTCTGCCATCATGGAATTCACAATCATCTCATTTACTTTTTTGTTCACCCGCTCGTAAACATTACTGAGGACGGGGATATATGGTGGTTGGAGCTTAAACGTTGGCGCAAATTATTTTGGGGCGTACAAATGGTGGTTTACAGACGAATTCCTACCAATTCGGTGGCTTGCATCCAACGGCGAGCTTTCCTTGATTGCCTACCAAAGAGGTGAGAGGGATTGCTTGGGTTACCTTCACAATATGTCTTCCAACTAGATGTGAAGCCACTGCATCAACGAATAATTTAACCGTTTCAGTGTTGAGTAATGCAGGGTGGTGTTCATGGAATCGTTCGAGAAATCATATAACCTATGTACATTGTTCCACAGGGACAAGTAAATGAATGTACATAGAATGAGATGGCTGGGTCTAGCACTTTGTCGCTTACTAATTAACCCAAAGTTGGCTTGGAGGTGAAAGACAGGTGAAAGTTTTCGGTCTAGAGCGTTTCATTAATGGTAGAGGCTAATATCCTTTGTATGCGAGAAATCCGGTGTTTAAGATATTTCTTTGCACATTCGTAACATTTGGTTAACAAAACTATTCGATGCATTGATAATTTTCTGAAGATGACGCAAGATAAGAAGAAGTCAACTTTTATTTCTGAACATTCAAACGAGCACATCAACCGAGATTATATTGGACAATTGAAGCATAATATATCACCCAATCGACTTCAACCTTTTTTGTAATATCTATTTTTTAACATCACGCTTGTTTATCTAGTTGACAACTAAGATTCTTTGCTCATCCCAGTTGACAATAGGATCTTTAGAATGCATGTGTTGTAATCGCTTGAAAAACAAACCAATAATTGACGGTACGATATTCACTGATTTCTAAGTAAGTGTGGTATTACAGATTCGGGGAACATATGCGAAACGTTTTCTCACAAACCCCAGAGGAGAAAAAACGCATCACCTTAAAATGTGATACTAAAGAGAAGATAGAAAAGCTCGCTACTAGTTCAGGGAAAGCGATTTGAAACATGATGGAGTGCCGAAGAATGCTGAAGATAAATTAGTAAGCGCATACATAGGTTGGAAGTTAGCATAATTCGTTCAAATACGCCCTCATTGGTACATTGGTAGTGTTTCAGTTTTATCCGGCACCTGGTCACTGATCACAAGCCCTCTCCATGATGGACTCTATTGTTTATTAATTGATCAATGAAAAAGAAAACGTATTATCATCAGTTTGCTGAAACACCCTGATATGACTACAGCCAGAAAATCATGGATTAACTTTTGTAATCAGCTTCAGATTCCAAAACTTACCATGCACTTTCATGCTGCAGTTTTGTTTGCTGTCCTCATTCTAAACATTTGGATAACAAATAGAAGAACAAATGAAATGTTGAGAGCAAAATCAAAAAGAAGTTATATAATTTGTGTGTACTAAAACGGCTAGGATAAGGACAAGATGAATCAGCTCCACCGTTTATAAAAATCAGCCATATCACTCAGTGGTAATGTCACCAAGTTATCACCCCGGGGATGTAATCAAATTTCACCACCACCGCCTGACTTTCCCCATTGTGTGTTGAATGGCAGCCCTTTAATTGACCGCTTCCTCCGGCCTGGAAATTGTATCTTTGTATAGTCAAGTCAAGTCAAAAGTCAAGAAGCGGCTTTTATTCTCCCTATAGGGGATGAACATTCAGCTACTACACAACCACTCTTCGTTGGAAATTATATGGTAACAAAGCGTATGGTGATACGTTACATATACAAAAAGCCAATTTAGCAGAGATTTTGTCTTAGAGTCCCAATGACAAGATCAGCGTTGGTAAGAAACCGTGCCAGGTACGGTATTATAGAAGATTTGTATGTAGTGGTGCGTGCTGCTATATGTTTATACATGGAACGAGTGCTAGATGTGGAGATACATTTTTTTTTATGAGGATACAGTGGGTGAGATGGGTCAAGTAGTATTCTGGTAGAAAGTTTCTGGCAAGCTTTAAGGTGCTGTGAAAT